AAGACAACTCTGGTTCCCTTACCTACACTACCTATCGATAGATCAACCCATTCCTCTCCCTGCGGTACCGAACCTCTTTACCCAGCACCATGGCAGGACATGCCATCTGAAAGTCAAAACTCTGAAATTCACAGCATGGCTCTCCATGGTTCCAGAATGAAGAAGTTACCTGTTCGGACAGAGTCTAACAGATCCCACTGAACAGTCGATGGCCCTCCACGAGGAGAACCTACCAAAACAAATGGCCACGCTTTCAACAGTGGTACACGACATGCAGTTTATATCCCAATACTGCCCCTATACCTACCGTGCTGGAGTATCTCATGGACCTCAGCAACACAGGTCTCTCCATCAGCTTTATCCCGGTACATCTGGAGGTGGCCATGGCATTCCACAAACCTGTGGATGACTTCTCTCTTTGTGCATCCCATGGTGAAGCGATTTCTCACAGGCCTGCAGAAAACACACCCAAACCTGCGCTCCCCAGAACCTGCCACTGTGGGGCTTGAACTCAGTTCTTGACACGCTCACCTGGCCACTCATTGAGCCACTAGCCACTACATCACCACAATACCTATCCATGAAGGTAGCCTTCTTAGTGGCAATAGCATCAGCAAGATGGGTAGGCGAAATTGCAGCCCCTCATGGCAAACCCACCTTTCACTACCTTTACCAGGGATAAAGTGATACTCAGGTCTCACCCAAAGTTCCTCCCTAAGGTTATATCCAACTTCCACTTAAATGAACCCATTTACTTACCCGCTTATTTTCCTAAACCTCATACCTCCTCCAAGGAGGCCATATTGCACACGTTAGATGCAAAATGAGCGATTGTGTTCTACCTGGATACCAGGGGAACCAGAAGATCAGATAGACTCTTTGTAGCATGGTCTGGACCACATACAGGAACAGCTGTCTCAGCACAGCATCTATTCAAATGGATTGCCAGCTGCATACATACAGCTTATGAACTTCGTGGCAGGCAGCCATCACAGATTATAAGGGCTCACTCCACGTGTACGATGGCCACAACAATGGCCTAAACAACATACCATTAGTGGACATTTGTAGAGCAGCCACATGGTCCTCCCATCACACTTTTGCACAGCATTACACCCTGCAGAAGGGACCAATAGCCTCCACATGTGTGGCAGATGCGGTCCTCCTTTCCTCTACATAAATGACTCCAGTGCCCACCACCATCTGGTGGATACTGCTACTGAGTCACCTGAGTGACGCACCCATAGGGACACCACTTGAAGAAGTAGTAGTTACTCACCTAGTGCAGTAATGATGGTTCTTCGAGATGTGTGTCCCTGGGAGTGCTCCACTACCTTACTGTCCTCCCCTCTGCTTGGAGTCTTAGGGGACTTCAGGTGGAAAAGGAACAGATGGGTCTCACGCCACGCGTGCACGCAACAAATGGCAGGGGCACGAGATGCTGGGTGTGCAGTGCAAGTGCCACTGCTCACCAAAAATCTCTGATTGGTGGCACGAGGACACACCAAGTCCTGAGTGGAGCATCCACAGGGACACGCATCTCAAAGAACCATCGTTACTGCACAGAGTGAGTAACTTCTTTCCTATCAGATGAGAGTAGGTAGGCCAGTCCGATCTGACTTCTTCAAAGCATCTCAACTGTTCCCAGCTCTTTGCTTGCCCCAAATACATAGAAAATTGTTTGTCCTGTATATTTAAGCATTTTGGAACTGGAGAGTGACTACATTCCATTTCTAATGTGACACTGATTGTTTGCAGCTGAAGAGACTATTTGGAATATTTGTTCATGTTAATAGAATTTGATTTATTAATGGTCATTTAAATTATCTTTAATAGTTATTTTCCATTCTTTCTTAGCAAAAGGAGTTAAAGCTTTGTAGTTCTTCAAGTTTAGGCATTATATGCAGAATTAGATGCATTAAGACGTTCTTGCATCCCAGTGTCTTGTTCCCACTGCATACCTTGGAGTGGGCAAGCAGGAGCAGAAACATGAAGAGGGCTCAAATGGGGTACCACTTGGATTTGTTCTGGGTCCAGTGGTGTTTAACTTCTTTATTAATGACCTGGGTATAAGATTAGCAATTATACTAATCTAATTTGCAGATGAGACATAGGTGGGTGGATGCAGACACTTTGGAAGATAGAGCTAGAATTCAGAGGGGTCTTGATAAAGTGGAGAACTGGACTCCTGGCTGCAAAATGAAATTCAGCATAGACAAATCTACAGTGGTAGTAAAACCAAATGCATAGATACATGAGTCTTCAATGTTGTGCTGTTGAAAACATTCAAATGCAATTTTGGGTTGCATTAATAGAGTCACGGAAGTGACAGTATTGCTCTACTCATTGCTGGTTAGGCCTCAGCGATACTATTGCATCCAGTTTTGGTCACCATTGTATAGAAAAGATGCAGGGAAACTGGAAAGGATCCAGAGGTGAGCCATAGCGATGATCAAAGAGATGAAATGCAAGTCATATGAGCAAAGCAGAAGGAACTAGATATATTTAGTTTGGAAATGAAGAAGTTAAGGGGGGAACATTATAGTGGTCTTCAAATACTTGAAAGACTGCTATATAAATGTAGATGAATCGTTTTTTTCCCACAGAGGGCAGAGCAAGGGGTCAATGGGTTCAAATCTCAAGCAGAGATGATCAAAGAGATGAAATGCAAGTCATATGAGCAAAGCAGAAGGAACTAGATATATTTAGTTTGGAAATGAAGAAGTTAAGGGGGGAACATTATAGTGGTCTTCAAATACTTGAAAGACTGCTATATAAATGTAGATGAATCGTTTTTTTCCCACAGAGGGCAGAGCAAGGGGTCAATGGGTTCAAATCTCAAGATAGCAGATTTAAGTGGCATCTCAAGATAGACTTCCTTAACTGTCATGGAAGCTGCTTTGCTGTCTTGGGTAGTTTAGACACAACAAACCCTGCATCTGGATGGGGTTAGACTAGGTGACTACTGTGGTCCCTTCTAACCTTATGGTTCTATGATTATATGACCTTTGATCTTTGAACTAAGAGTTCTTTGGACATTCCCCCCCCCCCCCCCCCCAAATAGTTAGACATAAAGAATTATGCTTCTTCTGGAACACAGTGTGGTCGAGTTGGTAAGATTTGTTATATTAAAGACCTATGTGAGTATCATTTGTACCAGAAGTGACATTGTGCAACTTCTGTTACTTTATTTGTGACAATAAGTGGATGAAATTTGCCTACTTCCTAAGGCTGAGATGTGAGGTCTTGGCCAGTAAAGAAGACTGAATTAACACCACATATAGAAATGCTGGAACTAAGGGGTTTATCTGTACAAACATTTAGTTTGAAGAGAGCTTGGGTGCACACTAGCCTGCTGCACACTGTGTTTGGGTGGACTTTGCTGCCACATGCACGTTTTCCATGAAGAAAGGGTTTCAAACTTTGGGTCACAGCTTGTAAGGGTAAGCCAGTAGCTGGCCACAAGATGTATTGCTTACTTGCGTGTCTGCAGGCATGGCCACTCCCAGTGTCCACATTACACAATTCCCAGCCAGCGGGTGCTGTGGGAAGTGCTAGCCCAGCCTGCACCCCTTCACTCGGCTCCCATTAGCCAGGAATAGTGGCCACTGGGAGCTGCAAGTGGCTATGCCTCTAGACACTCAAGCTACATCTACACTACACCCCTCTGTTGGCAGAGGGATGTAAATGAAGCACTTCGAAAGTGAGCTTCATTTGCATAATCATCTAATGGCGCTCTTTTGAAAAAGTGCTATTTTGAAATTGAAACTGCGGTCTAGACTGAGGTTTACAGGATCTTTTGGAAAAGTGCCCCGTTTTCAAAAGAACTGTCTCTAGACTGCAGTTTCAATTTCAAAGTATTGTAGAGTCCTGATTATCCGACTTAATTGGGACTGACAGGTGGTTGGATTACTGAAAATGTCGGATGATCGGGACTCTACTAGAGCTGGCGCTGCTTGGTCCCCATCCCTGCCTGGCCCTGGTCCCTTCCCTTCCTGCAGCTCCTGTGCGCGGGCCGGGAGAATGGCCCCTCTCGCTGCCCTGTCACTCTCCTGGCGCTGCTGAGGCTGCTCCTGCCGGCGCTGCTTTGTCCCCGGGTGCTGCAGGGAGGGGACAAAGCGGCACCGTCAGGAGCGGCATCAGCAGCTCCAGGGCGCGGGCTGGGTGAATGGCCTCGCTCGCTGCCCCGTCACTCTCTTGGAGCCACTGATGCCGCTCCTGCTGGCACCGCTTTGTCCCCGGGAGCTGCAGGGTCGGATAAAGCAGAATGTCGGATTACCGAAGGTCAGATAATCCAGACTCTACTGTAGCGCTTTTTCAAAAGAGCTCCATGATTATGCAAATGAAGCAAGGGATATTTAAATCCCGGCTTCATTTGCACTTTCGAAGTGCTTCATTTACATCCTTCTGCCAACAGAGGGATGTAGTCTAGACACACCCTCAGGTAAACAAAGCATCTCATAGCCAGCTACAGGCTTACCCTTTCAAGCCAAGACCCAAAGTTGGAAAACCCCTGCCCTACTGCATTTTAATCTATTCCCATTTCAAAGCAGGCTATATCATAGCACATGTGGGACTTTTTGTTGTATGCAAAACACTGTTTTGACAGTAGGATGAGCTGAGTTGGCTAATTTAGAAATGCTTTTTCTCTTGCTCTCTTATCCAAGAGAGTTCATTTGTGTTCTTGATCAAGATTTATGGTATCCTTTTGAACCCATCCATTTGCCGGCATTAGAAACTTGCATGTCTCTAAATTGTTATATAATTTAGCATCGTATTTCAATTTATTGCTATATGATCTGTTCATCTGTCACTGATAGAATTTTAGTTATTATGTTACAGAATTAAGAAGGTGCATTTCAAAAGACAAAGCATATGGTGGGCAGACAAGCCTATGCAAAATTTTGATCAGATAATCCTCAGACACTCATCAAGGTCAAATTAGGCTTCCTGTTAAAATCCCTTGCTGCTTTTTAAACATGGTATTTTTTCTCCTTTAGGAATGGCAGAATTCTATTCAGAAGAATGCAGGACTTGCGTTTATTGAGCTCATCAATGAAGGAAGGTAATTAATTTTAAAGCTTTTGGACAAGTAGTCATTTTACATTTCATTCCACTGGGTGATACTACGTTCTCACCAGCTGCTCCAGAAAGACTCGAGAAAAGGCCATTTTAATTAAGATAAACTTATTGTGCAAATACAATGCATAACGAATATTTAATATAACAAGGTACAAAATGTTAAACTCATATTAATTTACTGAAAACACCCTGTGTGCTATGTAAGGATTTGAGGTTTATTTGAGATTTGAGCCACTATCTTACTGAGTAGCAAGGTTGTTTTACACGGAGGATCTAGGGAGCCCAATCTGAAAACCATCTGCCACACCATCTGTTTTAGGAGTATAGTATTCATTATACAGATGCACTTCCTTATACTCATTTCATGAGAAATTATTTTTTTCTAGTCTACTTGGTGCTGTCTAAGACACTACATAAAACACATTGAACATCAAATATATGTAAGCTACCTGGTTTTGCTAGTTAGATACTTCATTAACACTGGAGTAATTTTAATACTACTTTAGTCTGTGTCTTATTTTATCTTTCATTCTTTGCCATCTTTTTCCAGTACTCCATACCAGTCATCTGGCCAATAGCAGTGCACTCTTTGGCTTAGCTGGCAGAAGATATTCCAAGACAGATGTAGCTATCACTTCTATTACCTGTATAACATCTATTGTCCAGAAACTAGAAGCCTTTCAAACCTAAATGTTTTTGGTGCTGATATGTGGTGCTGAGCAAAAAATGTTCATCATAATATATTTGTTGAAGACTTTTTGCCAGTTTTTTTTATAGTTTCATTTATTGGTAGTATGGAATTAACAAAATAGAAACAGCTTTCCTTGTTGAAATGTTTTCTTTATTGAAGGAGCATACATTTTTTTGGCGTAATTCTATGATAAAGTCATACGTGGATCAGTCATATATTCTTATCATATGGTGACTATGAAATACCAAAAATAATACAGCAAGTAGCTTTACAGAAACCAAGGTTACTATACGGTTTATTATTCTTTAATATTTATATTACAATGGTGTACAGTAAATGATCCAGGCAGGATCATTGCCCCATGTCTCTGCATGAGTTTGTAGAACATGTATCACAATGGGGCAGTGATCCTGCCTGAATCATTTACTGAGCACTATTGTAGCTTATCTATTACATAATAATAAGCTATACGATAAACTTGACTTGTAAAATCCTGTCCAAAGTTTGTACTTTGTCTCCCCTTGTTTTAAACATAATCACTTTAGCTGGAAAACGCTCACTTTTTTTTTGTTTACAACAATATCTGTTGATAAAGTTATGCTGCTGAACAAATTTCAAAACTAAATTTTTTTACATTCATATAAAATAACAGTGAAATATCGGTGGATGGTGTATATCCATCTAGCAGTAACCTTTGAAGCAAGAGGAACAGAATTCAAGAACTTGCTCTTTAGGTTTAATCAAATGAATGCCTAACCAAAATATCTGTAGATACATTTTACACATTTTTTCCAAGGGTATGTTTCAAGAATTTATTTATTTATTTATTTATTTATTTATTTTTCTAGGACACTTGTTCTCCACAGTTAGTACATCAGTTTTAATTTACCCTTTTGGGTAGGAAGATAGCAATCCTTTAAGTGGAAATTGTTATAAATATTTATTCTACTTAATAGCTAAACTTGTGAATGTGATTCATCAATCATAGCTAGAGAATGCAATTGTGCAGTTGTCAACAATTAACAAGACATAAACAGTTGATGAATGTGCAACTGAATTAAAGTGTTCCCTAGGACAGCCTGAAATTATAAACTGAATCATTTAAAGGAATCTAACAAAGGATCTTTATAATTAAAACAATGCATGGTTAATGGGATGTAAAATTGCATATAATCACTATGCAATAATAACTGGATTTTAAATTATTAAAGTTCAAAATGAAGACTAAGAATAGTTTAAAAAGTCTGACTTAGAATTTGAATGATCTATTTAATCAACAGTTTCATCAAAATAAACCTTGCCTAACTCATCATTAAAAAATAAAAATACAAGAATTTGTATTTAAAAAAATTCATAATATTTTCATAATTCATTAAAAAAATAAAAATACATCATTTTATTAATTTAGTCTTATTCCTTCAGCTTTTAAAATATAGATGTTATTAAAAGGGTTCTTAAATTTTGATTTCCTGTTTCTTTGTTTTGCATCAATTAATTTGTGCACTGTTGTGATCTTTTTTTAATTAACTTGAAATATAATGAAACACAACTTTTCATTACAATATTACATTTTAACTCCTAAAGTAAAAGTAGATTGCTCACATTCCTATTGCTTGTGTTTTGATAAATAGCATCCTGTTCTTATATATAGTATTTTAGTATATTTGTATTTTTGCTTACACAAGATAGCATTCTTCTATACATGTCTGAATCTCTTCTTTTTCTGTAGTCATGATTTACATGACATTCTGGCACTGTTTTCCAGTTTTAGAACATGAGATTATTACCAAGATAGTCTACAGGTTGCACTCCCTAAAACCAGAATACTCTAGTCTGGAAACTGGACCATGGATGTCCCCAGATTAGAGGACCCCATTAGCCTAGTGGCAGGAAGGCAATCCAGGAGGAGCCGGGCTGAAGCGGCTGGATGGGGGCAGGGGTTGGGGCTGGAGCTGGCAGTAGCCCCCAGCAGCCCCCAACAGCCTGTGGCACTGGGGCCAGTTCATGTCAGCCCTAGGCAGCGGAGGATCAGGCTGGCAACAGTCTGTGGAAGTGTGGGCTGGGACCGAAGCCCCAGACAGCCTGCAGAAATAGAGCCAGAGCTTGTGAGCTGCCATGAGGCAGAAGCCCAAGCTCTTGGCAGCCTATGGCAGCTAGACTGGGGCCATGGCTGGCAGTAACCCCATGGGCTGTCACATGGCTGAGACTGGAGCCCAAGACCTTGGCAGCCCCTGGGGCCAGAGCCTGTGACTGCCCTTGGCAGCGTGGGCTGCTGGAGAAACCCAGCAGGCAGCCCGACAGGGGCTGGAGATAGCATCCCCCCTCCCACTTCATCTCCCCAACCCACAACTGGCAGAGTTGCTGGCTGGGGGCTGTGGCAGTGAACCTTCTCTAGTCTGGCAAATTCCCTGGTTATTGTTAGTCTATAAGGTGCCACAGGACTCCTCGTCGCTGGTTGTGGAGTTACTTCCACTCCTGTTGAGATCAGAGCTGTTTGCACACTGGTAATGAGAAGAACTCAGCTGAGACACTGGCTCGAGAAGATGGCTAGGATAGGTAAGTTTAAAAAGATGATTCATACCTTGACTGAATCCTTTCCCGAGGATAAGAGTTGGGAGATGTACAAGACATTGACTTGGCAGGGCATCAGATACAGGTGATCTTTGAGCCTGGTGACACACAGGTGAGAAGTGTTGGCTTTGGACAGTATGCACAGCCTGGTCCTGGAAAAAAAATTGATTTTTTTTCTGTGATGCGAAAGGTATGAACTCAGGTTTCTTAAATGGTAGGTCAATTGCCTGGTGACAGTGAGTCTAGCTTGCCGTGTAACTGTCTCTAGTGAATGAATCACTTTAGACTAAATTTTACAAGCAAGCTGTGGATATATGTTGGTGATATATTTTCAGCCTAATGAGCCTATCATTCTGCCATTTCCCTGTGCTCAGAGTCCCTTTGTGATAAGATTTTTCAATGTTGAAAGTTCTTTTGATTTCTACTTGGAGCAGACTAACGTCCTTTAAAGGTTTACTAGACTCTCTTTATTTTCATTTGACATCTGCTCATTGGGCTCTATAGTTACAAAAATGATCATGTCTAACTAGCTATCTAATTGCATTTCTTACTACCACACTTGAAAAAACAGTTTGAGAGCTGGCAGTTTTTCAAAGAGAAATTATTACAAAAACCAGCGTAAACTATCCCACTGCATTAAAAAGATAGGAATGTGGTAAGAGACAACCCTGTCATAACCAGGAAATCATGAATGATCTAAAAATCAAAAAGAGTCCTACAAAAAGTGGAAACTAAGTCAAATTACAAAGAATGGATATAAATAAGTAACACAAGTGTGTAGGTACAAAAATAGGCCACACATAAAATGAGATCACACTAGACAGAGATGTAAACAATAACAAAAAATATTTTACAACTACGTTAGAAGCAAGAGGAAGAACAAGGACAGGGTAGGACCATTACTCAGTAGAAGGGGCAAATATCAGAAAGTATGGAAGTGGCAGAGATGCTTTATGACTTTTGGTTTTTACAAAGAATGGTGGAGATTGGACATCTAGTATAGTGAATGCCAATGAAAATGAGGTTGGACCAGAGACTAAAATAGGAAGAGACCAAGTTAAAAGTTATATAGACAAATTAGATAACTTGAAGTCACCATGCCATGATGAGCTGCATCCTAAAATGCTCAAGGAGCTGCCTCAGGATATAGCAGAACCACTAGCAATTATCATTAAAAAGTGAAATATTGGGGAGATTCCAGAAGACTAGAAAAGAGCAAGTGTAGTGCCAATCTATAAAAAGGGGTTTAAGGACAACCTTGGGAATTACAGATCAGTCAGCTTAACTTTTCTACTGGGAAAGATAATAGAGCAAATAATTAAGGAATCTATTTACAAACATCTAGAACCGTGGTCCCCAACACGGTGCCCGCGGGTGCCATGATGCCCGCGGGGGCATTTCAATGCGCCCGCCAGGTGCTCGGGGCTGGCCTGGCCCCGGGCACATGGCGCATGAGCGCTTGCGGGGAGAGCGCGCTTGGCAGGGGGAGCGCCAGGCGCGCGGCACTCGGCGGGAGGCGGCGGGGGGGAG